ATATTTGAAAAGCCATGTATATACGCAATTATTTTAACGCTTACCTTTTCGTTTCTGAGAATAATCGCTTCTGTATTTAAAGTGTTTATTCCAAAAGCTGTTCCCTAGATTTCTTGGATTGATCGCTTCTATATTCAAGCCTATAAAATGAAAGCGTGCATTTCAAAAGCTGTCCCCTAGATCTTTCGGAATGATCATGTGTTTAAAGATTATATATATATATAGAAGCTGTGTATATATTTCAAAAGAAATGATCTCTGGTAATAAATAGTTTCATAATTAAAAAGCTTTGTATAAACACATACACTGGGGTGCCAAAAGTTGTGCTTCTTGACTTCTAAAACATCACCAACCCTTTCCCCTTAAAATCCTACGTGCAACATGTCGACACCTAAGTTGCGGTCAGATTTCCATACCTGAAAGCTTTATAAGTATTATAGATTTAAACGGGTGTGGAAATCTGACCGTGCTGTACCTGCCACGCAAAATGGACGTGTCAATCCGATCCGCTGTAGACCGCAAGTGTCATGTTGGAACAGAGTAAGAAGCATAAACTTTAGGGTTCTTGAAGTATAACAGTGTTTTTCACAAACTTACCTCCAGATCTTTGGGACTGATCACTTCTATATTGAAAAGCTTTGTTTGAAAGCTTTAATGTTTTTAGCTGTCCTCTGGATCTCTGGGAAAGTAGATTTCCCAGAGAGGTGTATTTTCATTAATTGTATGCAATGTATATTTACCTGCCACTTGAACAGTCACCCCTTTTATGGAAAACATAAACACAGGCCCCATGGGACAAAAGCAAAAACGCCTTGAGAAAACACACATATATGTATATACCTGAAGCGACCAAACCCTGAAAAATCTTCGGGTGAATCCTGAAACCTCGGGTTCTCCATGGATGTTGCTTCGAACCTCGGGTTTCCTTGGAAACCTCGGGTTTCCTGATGCATCATGGTTGGATGCCTGTTCTGCAGCATTCAAGCCATCTAAATACATCCAGAAAAGAGTTCAGTGACAGTGACAGGAATCATGGAGTACATTAGCAATTGGTACTGCGGTGTAGAACCAGATTCTCTTGTCACTCCCACTGGGAACGCTCATGGCGCAGCTTTTCCACATGGCTCGGGCCCTCAGTCAGCTGGATCTCCTGGAGAGCGCAAGTTGGGGCATGATGTTCCTGTTTCAAGACCCTTGGGCTCAAGCAAGTGACCTTTTTCCCGAAGGTAGTAGAGTCGAGCACCCCATGTCTGACGAGAGCCTAGGGCTGCCTAGTGAACGCACTGATGTTGGTGGCATTCACATGGATTGGGATGCTGTCCCTGCAATCCGTGATCGCTTGAGGGATGGTGCCATGTTAGTACCCGAAGATCATGGGACTGATGACATCAAGTCAGCAGTTGGCATTGCTGAAGTTCTTGAACCGCTTTTGGTGCGCATGCTTGGTTCTGGTGAAAAGCTCAAGCTTCCAGAAGTGGACCCACTTCGCCATGAAATCAGCACGCTCTACCAGAAGAACAAGCAGAATCGCTCTTCAAGTGACATTGGAGCGAACTGCTGGGTAATGCGCAAACTTTGTGGCTTTGTGAAGATGAAAGCTAGAAGGTGTGAAGTGAGCCTGGAAGCTTGATCCTGAAACATAGGATCCTTTTCCTTTTTTCTAGGATGCCTTGTTGCATTTTCCTCCACCTGTGGGTTTTCTTTTGCAAGAACAAAGGATCCAAAGTTCCAGCACTTGATCCTACTTCTGGCGCCGCATCTAGAGGAGATTCATCAACGGCTTCATGTGTTGCATACTGTTATACTAGTGTGCAGGAGATCATTAATGATGTCAACGCCCGGCATCAACGTGGAAGCTTTGTGGATGAGGACCTTTTCAAAGCCGTCCTTTCATACCCACCATGCATGAGGGATGCCAATTCCAAACACACCGCTACTGTTGCTTCAGGAACAATCCGATGAGGATGCTTATGATGACGCCACCCAAAAGTTTGAGCCTTTCGTTGATGGGAGTCTTCAACCAGTTGGAACAGTTCCACCTAAAGAGGATCCCGAAAAAGAAGCCAATGAGTCCAAACCACTTCATCCTGAAACTCCTGTGGCCCCCCCGGCCAACGCCGAAGCTATGCCGCCGCTGCCCGCAGTGGCTCCAGAACTGGCTTCTTCATCAACGGTTTCTCCAACAGCGGAGCCTGCGCCAAGTGGAGGTGTGGTTTTAGCGGTGTGCAAGAATCTTTTTTTGGGGGTCGGCCAGCTTGGTCAGGTCTTTCGAAGCAGGAGCTGGAACAAAGGTTGGAGGCGGCCAAGGCCAAGTTGACACAGTTGGGACCTTATACCGCACACACCAAAAAGGACGTTGGAAAATCACACCCAATGAATCTGACCTAGGATTCGCCAGAAAAAGGTTGAGGTCGAGCAGGAAAATCTTGCCGCTAAGCCGGTGGTCACACCCACTGAAGGAGGCTTTCAGACTTTTCCTACCAAGCTTGCAACATCAAGGCATGTTTCCAAACGTAAACGTACCTATGCGCTTCTGACCAGGAAATGCCCCGAGTGTGCAAGAAGTGGTGGATTCCTTACCTTATGGCGCTGATGAATTTGAAACCCAACCGCTTTTGGTCACTTCTATGCCTACACCAACTCCGCCCCCACAACCGGAAATATCACCAGAGACAACAGCTGATGAAAGGCGAAAAGCCTATGCTGGAACTAAGGCCCCTCAGGAAGGGAGTCAGACCAAGGTCCTTGGTGCTGAGATTCCAGAGTCACAGGTGGAGGCTCCAGATCCTCCCCCAGCCGCGCCTTCTGGGGACTCTTCTGGGGATGTTTCTGGGTTGCCTGCCGGACAATTTGAGGTGAAGGACAGGTGCTCATGCCATGCCCAGATCACAAAACAATAAATCACATTACTATTTAGATTGTTTTGTCGTTTTTTTGCGAGGAAGATGGTACCATCGTCCATTCAGAGCATCACATCCTGGACGACTATGTCCTTACCCGGGAGGAGCAATTGAAAGCAAAGCAGAAAAGGAAAGACGACACCGCTGACAAAAAAGAAGAGGGAAAAAAAAAGAAGTCCCGAAAAGCTGGCAAGGGAAAGACAAAAAAACATAGGAAAAATGGAAAAGGGAAAACGGCAAAGGGGAAAGGGGGAAAGGTGAAGAAGAGCCCAGCGAAGACATCGGCGTCTCGACGGCGCCAAATTCTGCGCTCAGCCTCCAAGTCCAGAGAGACCAAAAGCTCAGGCGAAGGAGTGCCTGAATCTGAGGAGAGAAAGAAATCCCGGAAAACTGCAACTGCTGCAAAGTCTGCGCCCAAGCCACGAAGACAAGCAGTTCCAACAGAGACGGGTGGCACGCAGTCCAAGACCAATGGAAAAGCAAAAGCAAAGGCCAACCAAACCAACAAGCAGAAGGCTACAGAGGCTGCTGACAACAAGGCAAGCACTAGGAAGAGACGCAAGGCAGGCACAGAGGAGCCTGGCCTGGACAGGAAGGACCTGTTCAGGAAGGATCGCTTCCAAAAGATTCATGAGTATGTTGGGCATTTCAAGAAAGACACACAGGTTGATGAAGCCTTCAAGAAAAAGGCCAAGTACCACTTAACACCGTTGTGGAACTGCTCCCTCGACATCTACTGGAAGAAACACACCTGTGGAATGAAAGTGAACAGTGATGCTGTTTCGGATGGAAAAGCCTTCACCCAGTTGTTTTCTTTCACCAACGACTGTGTCAGTGATGTGGCCCGTTTGGCTTGTGCAATCAAAGCGGCGGAGATGTATGTTTCTATGCTTATGTTTGGGCAATGACTGGTTTCATTCGCTTTACAAACCTCACTGCGTGTTTTCCACAATTGTTTACCTTTGTCACTTCCCCAGACTGAGGCTTTGATGGTCGACCACATGGTGATGAACAACATGGAGAATGTGTGCAAAAGCAATGCTGATATCGAACAGGAGTTTGCGATCCTCAAGTACAATGGCATGCGTGTGCTGAATGAGTTGGCACGGTTGACTGCTGAAAAGTGAGACCAATTGTTTTTGCTAGCTGTGCAGTTTCATGGGGCACAGCAATAGCGCTTTTGGAGGGGCTGCTGATCAACCAATTTGGGAAATCCGCAGGTAAATCCACAGTGTTTTGTTTTCTGCGCAGCTCATCTTGGGGTTTGGGCTGCAGCTTGAGGGATAAAAGGCACCCTGAGTCTCAGTTGTGGTGCCTCACCCTCAGCTGCAGTGGACAAGTGAAAGTCATGACCTGAGCGACGTTGCAAAAAAACGTGCTGCACTACCACTGCATGCTTTCTGTCCTTGATGTACTCACCCATTTCCTTCCCAACTTTCCACAATTTTTGATTCAGCTGGGTTGAGATTTCAATTCAGGAGTTGGCGCCCTTTGTGGTGACTCCCCTTCCAAGACCCTTCCTTCCATCATCTAACCGACCCTGAGTCGCTGAGTCACGATCACTCGATTCTGCTGAGGCCTTAACCTCTCATGGCGCCGAAGGCCAAGAGGCCAAAGAATGCAATCCTGCAACGACTGCGCGCTAAGAGCAGGAAGAGTTTTTCTGACATGTTTATCGGTGCCATTGTGTGTGCAAATCCTACCTTAACGGCTTCTGTTACCATGAAGCCCCATGCTGCATGCAAGAGCCTTTTGCCTCTTAGTGTAGTTGATGGGGTCGAAGCCAGTGCAATGGATTTAGATTTGATTGTTTGGCGTTTGCGTGCGCTTGGAGCTCCAAAGGTCAAGGACTTGGAGCTGTTTGTGTATACGTTGCAGTTACTGCGGAAGCATAATGCCTGGGGTGTATAGGGTGGTAGTCTGGCAAATCGCGGCCTAGGTTCTGATCATGCTCATATGCATGCTTCATTGGGTGGATGGCCAGTTCAACTTGGATCAGGCCTTGGGTTTGTTGGTTGGAGCCTCGTGTGCACACACTCATGTTGCCAGGGAGTTGATTTCCTGGAGTTCTACGCGGGGGAAGCTAGAACAACCTCATTTATGAGATATGCCAACTATTCAGCAGCGAAGTTTGACATAATTTACTATGTCCCGGAGCAGCCGGCAGCGTCAAACAGGGGCCAGCGAAACAAAAACTTTATGGATGTTTTATCGCCTGCTGGATTCTTGTGTCTAGGTTGAATGCATGCATTGCCTAAGTGACCCACAACTTTGTGAAGCCTCCAACTCACCGATCCCAGGCTTTCTTTGATCTGGATCCTCAAAGGCAAATCGGTGCCGGGCTTTCTGGTGGTTCTAGCATTGAAGTGCTCTTCCTTTGTCCATGTAAATTCTGGAACATCTGGCCGTAGCAAGTGCTGCAGTGTGGGGTTGGATGTTCCCTCGGTGCTATTGTCAAATGCCCTTGGAGAAAGGACCTGGTATGTTTACTGTTCAAATAAAACGAAACTGTGCTATCGATAGGTCTTCATTGAATTGGGGCTGCCCTTGACAGGACTACACTCCTGTGCTTGCTGATCACATGCTTGAATGGTACTTGGGTGCTAGAACAGCCTGGTTCCAGCGTCTTCGAATACTACCCAGAATGGCGAGATTTCATGAATGCACTGATTGGCACTCATGGTCTTAAGAGTGTAGCTTAGCTTGAAAGGAGCGCATCGTTTCTACTGCAATTGAACGAGGCGCTTCCCCCTACAACTGCTTTGCAATAAAGAAGAACAGTAATTAAAGAGAATAAGGTGAAAGAAGTTTGTGGGGGGGGGGGCAGTAGGGTTGATGTAATGAACCCTTTGGTTCCGTTTGCCTGGTGAGGTCACAAGAGCCAATTGGTGGATGGCCCACTACGGAGGCCAAACTCCGAAGCGCCACTACTGCTGGTCGAATAGTCCCATGATTTCCGCATTAGACAAGGGTAAGCTCCATTACAAAGCTTGGAAGAATTCACAGGCATCCCATGTACAAACGGTACGCCATTACCAAGATCGTGAGGGAAAGAAACGCTATGTGGGCACATCAAAGCTCAAAGGGACTGAGTTCCTTGACACCACAGAGCTGTAAACTTGAGCTTGTAAAGTCTTGTTCTACTGAATCAGTGAACCCTTTAGTCAGGACTATTGGCTTTCTAGGTGTGTTCTTTTTCCCTGTAAGCACATTTGGAGGACTTTGGAGGGATTGGCTGGGAATCTTGGAAACCACTGCCCCCAAGGAACTATCCATGGAAGTTTGCACGGGAGCTCACCGACATGCATGCTGAGTTGGTGGTGGACAAGTATGGACCCCCTCCAAACCCATCACCGGTGCCTTCAGCTCTGCAAACCGTTATGGGCATGGCTGATGATTGCCCGGATCGTTGGCGACACGCGGACTTGGCATCTGCGTATCACTACCTGCGTAAATCGAAGCATTTACGAATCCCACCTGATTGGGCTCCACATCTCCCTCGGTCCCTGTGAGCCTCCATGATTGGCCCTGTCTAGTCCGTGAATGGTTTTGAAGGAGTCTGAACGATTTTTTTGGACTTTTGCTTCGGAAAACCCTGGGTTCTGGGAATCGTAGGGAAACACCATAATTTATCCATCACAAACCCATCATCTTCCCATCAAAAACCCATAAAATCGGAAAACCCCGGGTTTTGGAAAGCCGTCGTGAACCCGTCGAAACTCCGTAAAAAACCCATCGGAACCCGTCGTGAAAAGATGGGGTTTGAGCTCTGGGACCGAGTGAGATTTTGTGGCTTCTGTTGTCCATCGCTGAGCTTCTGGTGCGAGTTTGGGTAAAAAAGTGTACAGGAAGTGTGATTCTTCGTGTGTTTCAACCAGCCATGATGCAATTTGTAAAGGTGACACTGGTTTCTTGGAATGCCCCAGGCAGGAAGCCATTTGACACGAGTTTGTGCGCCCCACCCTGTCCTTCAGCTTCAGATGGCTGGAGCTGAAGCAGCTTCGATGCCTGCTGTCACCGGACAGTCAGGCAGCAGGTGGAGCTGTGAGACTCTCCGGGCTGGGTTCCAGCATGTCAAAGAAGAGTTGATTGATGCCGAGAAGAAAGTAGAACGAGAGATTCAAGACACTAGTTTTGCAAATAAACCGATTTGGATCGATTTGGTTTAAAGCATCTGGTTCGAGCATGGTACAAACAACTTGCCGGTAAATTCCAATGTGATCGCTCATGTGCCAAGGAGATCTCAAAGATGCTGGACGTGGCTGTGCTCATTGAAGATGGGCAGGCTGGTTCAGTCTTCGTGGTGGTACTTTAAGTGTATAGTGTGTCGTGCAGGTACCAGCTCATCGACCCCAAAGCCTGGAAACAGTACCAGCCCAGGACCTAGAATTGAGTTCCACAACAGCACGCTGCTAAACCATGGTGGGTGGAAAACTTGATTCCAACCTTTCTGAAGTCTATCATCTACTGTTTGTTTGGTCATAGGTAGGAAAGGGATTCTGTCTTGGAACGCCACCCACCGGCGCGAATGCTGAGGCCTCACCGTCTCTTCTCCCTCCTGGCGCGTGGACTCATGGTCGTGAGGACCCCAATGCACAGGAGCAGGAAGGGTCTTTGGCACCGACTGAACTTGAAGAACTCTTTGGGTCTCCACAACAATCGGATGCACAGGACTCTCCACACGAAGGTTTGTATCAATGCATCATAATTGTTCTTTTCTTTGTGTGGTTGATTGATGTGGGATTGAACTGTATACGAACCACTATATAATCATTATAATCCATCCTGTGACGAGGACAAATCTGAACCTCAGGCTGCAGCACGCCCCGTGGCCACCCCTGCTCGTGGGAATGAGGATGCAAGTTTGCTTGAGGCTGCACCGAAGGAAGCAGGGACCAAGCCGACAAAGGTCAAAATCTCGAAGACGCGGCAGGTTCCAAGGGCTTTTTTGGTGGGATACGCTCCTGTTGGATTTTCACAGCTTCCTACTTTCACCCACTTTCCTCAAATACAACCTTTTGGACAACTATCTTTTTGGGTGCACGCCCTAAATCATGTGGACCAGGGTGCTCATCTGTCACCATCCAACTTGCCCCACAGGTGCTTCTCCATGAGGCTGCTTTGGCACGGATCCGACGAATGGTCAAACCAAAGAAGAAGCGAGTTGACCTGAACCCACCTCAGTTCTTGAAAGACCGTTGGGTGATGGGCAGAAAAGAACAAGATGCTATGGCTGAATTGCTCAAAAAGATGAACTTTGACAAGGAGGGGAATTGTTTTGAGGGGACCCCAATGTCACTGTGGCAGAGACCCTATGTAATTGTTTGCAAACTGGGCAGGAATCCTTTCTCAACAAGCTCGAGCTGATCGTTCTGAAGTGCAAGAGTGTTGAAATCATCATTTCCGAAGGATGGTACTCGGAACGTGAGATGTCCGAAGACCTTCACTGGTCAAAGTTCCAATCTTAGAAACAAGTTAATGCCTGATTTGTCGCACGATAGGGTTGACCAGGCCACCATGTTTATTGTGTTTTTGGTTTATAAAACGCTGAGGGAGCGCATTGCCGGAGCAAAGGCGTTTTGTGAGCAGCATCCCGACGAACTTATCAGGACTTGTTCTTGCTTTCTCTCAGTCTTGAGTCTTCAGGTTCTATTTTCGAGCACCATGCTTTCCCAGGACCAATAAGTATGATGGATTGGCGGAGTACTTTGTAAAGACTCGTGAGTCTCAGAGTCGTTCCGAGAAGTTGACTGAAGAAGAACGCCGCACCAAAAGGATGGTCCCCGAGGTGTCTTGCAACCTCTTCCCTTGCTCACCAAAGACCCCCGTTCTCCTTGGCCAGGCTGGAGTGGATGAACCCATGGCGCCGGTCTGTGGGGCCTTGGACATCGCGAAAGCTCGTTTGGAAGTGGGGGAGAAAGCTAAAGGAGCTGAACCTCAGACTCGCGAGGTTGACACACAGGTTGGGTATGGTTTTCGCAATTGAACTTTTTGGAAGTGTTGATGTTGATGTAAAAGTTTTGGGATGGAAATTGTGTTGTCCCTTTGATAATTGAAACCCTGCAAGTACAAGCTGCAGTTCAAACGCTTCATGGACAGCATCTTGCAAAAGTCCGGCAAGTTACGGGGGTTGCATCGCACCATTTCCGACCAATACGTGGTGGATGCTGCAGTCCAAGAGTGCCCCATCTGAAGCAAAATGGTTTTCCCCGTGTTCAATCCTCGCACCCTTTCGCACACGGCCTAGGACTTTGGACTCGCTGATGCGGCAAATCTCTATGCTTGATCAGGAGTTCGATGCATGTAATGAAGTGTATGCGCAGGGCACTTCTGACCGGTAGAGCTGCTTGTCATTTTTGCAGTCCAACTACCAATTATTAAGTTGTGCCGACCCTTTGGTTACCTAGGTTTTGGAAGAAAGGTGAACCGGCTATCAAATCAGCAACCGTGAAGTGCCTTGTTCTTATTTTACCTGCTTCTTCATAACCTGCACGGTGCAGTTGATCTTCTCTTAGTGCCCTGCCGGCCTCCAGGTGCCAAAAGGCTTTGGCAGTCGAGGCAAAAGTGAAGTCCATACCTCAGCAGTTTTGGACTTGAGAAGGGTCCCTTTGTTAGCATTCATTCGCAACAGGAACTCGAAGAAGTTCTTCCAGAAGAAAACTGAGAGGGATGGCGCGGCGTCTGCGGAGCAGGGTGCACGCAAGCGGACCCGAGAGGGTGATGCTGCTCCCAAACCTGCCCCTAAGACAGGTGCAAAGACTAAGGCAGCTCCAAAGAAGAGGGGTAAGGCGTAGATCCTTTTTTCTGTGTTGCGGGTGAACCTGCAGCCTGTCGCTTTCTAAGGTAGAATGCGATTTCTAAGGTGGCAGTATGTTCTTTTATTTACCTGAGTTGTCACCGTATCTGGCCCTATAGTTGAGGGCTCGACCCAAGTCTCGACGCACTTATCATCTTGGACAGCTTGAAAATTGCCACCTGCCATCGGTGCATGCACACATAGTTGTGCAATTTGGGGTCTTTTAGCCGTACAAGCTGGACTAGCTTGAGTGGCAAGGATTTGATGGACGGGGAAAAGGACCGGATTGGGAAAGCTTTACGTGAACAAGCTTCACAAGTTTTGAACTGACACACCAATTGCTCTTATTTGCAAAAGCCCTCCGTAACCAGCCCAATTTTCACCAGGGAGATCCAAGAACAATGCCAGGTGCACCTGCCGGCCGCACTCTCCAGGGCTTCGCTGGTGCCATCGGAGATGGGGTTGCGAAGCTAAAGTCTGAATGTGTCTCTCTGCCTCCTTGTTACACTGCATTTGGTCAAAACATTGTGCCATGAAAGGGATTAAACGGCCTGCTCCTATATAAGAAGTGGTTGGAGGAGGTTTGATTGAAATTCTGCACTAAAACACTTGACTGAAGATCTTGTTGGGATGTTTGGGTGCTGTGTGGCTTTCTTGTGGGATCTTAGGCTCCAAGCTGTGGATCGGTGATTGCGGCCCGCAACATTGTTGCGGACATTGGTGAAGTTGCTGCTTCTTCTTCGGGAGGTTTGTTGAGGTTCGCTGGCCTCAATGAATCCAATGCAGAGCGGGATGCCCACAGGTGTTTTGCTCAATTGGGCCTACGCTTGCCGATCCCCCTGATTCATATCAATCTTGAAAAGAATGATAGTGTGAAGGGGCTTCAATTGCAGGATTGGGCACGCTTTCTGTTGGACCGAAACTGCTGGCACATTCTATCTGGACTAATGAACCCAAACCCAGATCGTGAAAAAGCAATCTGGTGCTCATTCTGGGCAAGATACCGCGAGACAAACCCAAACCACGAAGTGTTCTCTCTGTTCGATCGAGGTATTTTGAAACCAGAGTGCACCGCAGCTATGACCTATCATGGAGACGAAGGCCGTGGCAGAAAGAAACAAGCATTTTTCGTCACATCCTTTAAGTCAGTGCTTGGAAGAGGGCTTCAGCCTGCCACTGGCGCTCAGAAAAGGGACCAGTTGCCAAAGCAATATTTGAAACAGCGTTGCAACTATGTCGGTCACGTTTATAGCACGCATTTTTTATCAGCAGTACTTCCGAAGCACTTGTACCGCAAGAATGATGAAGCCGTGCAGGACATTTTTGAGTTTGGGGCTGCTTCGGCTGACTACATGTCAAAGCATGGCGTGCAAGACACACGTACTGGAGAAAACTTTTGGATGGTTCTCATTGGTGTTACAGGAGACTGGCAGTTTTTGGCCAAATGCGGCTTGCTGAGCCGTACCTACTATAGTACGGAGAAGAATTTGAGAGGAAGGGCTCAGGCAGACCCCCGAGGGGTCTGTCATCTTTGCCTTGCAGGAAAGCGAGACTTTCCCATGGAGGAGTTGAGTTCGAGGAATCCACGTTGGCTGCAAACCTGCTTCCAAGAGAGTGGTTTCAAGACACAGCCGCCGTTTTCCCGTGTGCTTTGGAACCCAAGCCAAGCAGAAGCCTTATACCACTTTGATGTGTGGCATGGGTTTCATGTTGGAGTTGGCAAGACCTTCATTTCGTCTACGCTGGCGCTCATTTCTGACCTGTTCCCAGGAAGCAGCATCGACGTCCGTTTCGAAAACCTGTCTTCTGACTACCTTGCGTGGCGCAAGAGGGAGGGGCAAACAGCTTTCCTCAGCTACATCAGCAAAGATACAATTTTGTGGAAGAGTCGGAACGAGACACCTAGTGCCCTTTGGTCAAAGGGGGCTGCTACAACAGTGTTGATGAAATGGCTGGAAGCCTGGAATTCAACTGCTGATCTGTCTGGCGACGTTCTTTACGAGAAACAAGCGAAGGCGTGCCACTTGATCAACAGTTTTTTTTCAGCGCTGTACGAGGAGGATGTTTGGATAGCAGGTGAGACTGCGATGTATCTTGGAGATGCTGGGCTACAATTCCTGCGGATCTATGACCACCTGGCCAAAATTAGCTACAACCAGGGACGGTCTCTTTATCCGTTCATGCCCAAACATCATTTGCTCCATCACATTTTTTTGCAAGACTTGTGGATCGCTGGAAAATCCCAGAGATGGGTGATTAACCCTTTGTGCTGGGGAACGCAGCAAGCAGAGGATTTTATCGGAAAAGCATCACGGACTTCACGACGTGTACACCCTTCAAAGGTTTGCGAGCGCACAATACTCCGTTATTTGACCAAGGCATTTGCAGAATGGCGGAAGCTTAAGTACATCATTTCTTGAGATAAAAAGATTGGAGTGTGTTTGCTGCTTTGGCAACTTCTTTGTGCGTTTGTCAAAACCCAGAAAAGCAAAACCTCGGGTTTCATGACAAACCTCGGGTTTCCCTCCAGAAGTTGAGGTATTCTTCAAACCCTGCTTTTTCTTAGGTTTTGGTTGGTCAAGGTATATGTATATTTATTTATGAGAGTCTTGACTGAACCCTCCCACAGAGGACAAACTTCTGAAAACATGTATCTTTTTGTGTGTTTTAGCTTGTTTTCTTCAAGAGTTGTCCACAAAGTGCAGAATCTTTTGCAGAGTGTCCTGGCAGTGTAGTTTTCTTGACAAAGGTTAACAGAGTGCCCTCCCCACAGTGTAGTTGTTTTGACAAATCTTAACAGGGTGCCCTCCTGGCAGCGCAGTTTTATTGATAAATGTTGACTCAAAAGAACACACATTTGCGAGAAAACTTAACATTTGTCAAGAAAGCTGCACTACCAGGAGAGCACTGTGTGGAAAATTTTGGACCCTGTGGACAAATACAAAAAATACACGTTTTCAGGGGTTTGTCCTCCGGGGGGGTTCAGTGAAGACTCTCTGAAATTTGTGTTTATAATATGTTTTCCCGAATGCGTAGCGAAGGGTCCTCGATCTGGGGGTTGGACTGTGTTCGCCTCGGGTGCTCTGTGTCGTCGTTTCTCGTCGTCGTGGGGTGTGCTGACGTCGTAAATTCTCCCCATTGGGCGAAGCTTTTGGAGAGGTTTGTCGATGGAGAGTGATCGTCAGATTCGTCGCAAAAACCAGAGTTTTGTGAGATCCGCGGTTTTCTGCGTACTCACATTGGGATTGGCGTTTGGAGGGTGGTGTTTTGGGGGTGTTGGAGGTGGCTGTGACATTGGGATTTGCGTCTCAGGCTGTTGCTTCGAAGCTGTGTTTTCGTGACAAGTCTCAGCTAAAATGGCGATTTTGGTGGCTGGGCAGAACGTGTCACGTGTGGTGTGGCGAACATTTTGTTGAAGCTAACATGATATGATATTGTCACTTTGCGTGGCAGGCGCAGTACTTGGTGCGGGCTTTGAGGTGTGTGTGCCTTGCTTGCTTGCTTGCTTGCTTGCTTGCTTGCTTGCTTGCGTGCGTGCGTGCGTGCGTGCGTGCTCTCACACGGGCACTGATTTGCGCCCACCCGGGTCAGTTCACAAGTAGAACGAAGCATGGAGGGGCTAATGCTGCTCCATGCTTGGCGGAAGAAGGTTGTGGCGCGAGTGGAACTGCCTTGCGCGGCCTAAATGCCGTTCTGGGGTGTTCTTTGGGCTTTTGCGCAACCTGTATTTTTTATTGAAAGTTGATTTAGAGTTGACTTGAAATATAATCAAATTTCATTGAAAATACAGGCTTCATCTACTTCCAACGGACTTCAAATTTAGATCTATATAAGTCATTTTTTACGCTATACAGTTTTAGCCGAATTTGAATACCAAAATTGAATTGAATTAATAGAAATAGACCTTCATTAAAAAACTACTATTGAGTAAGTATTTATTTTTTTGAAACTATTTAAGCCCAACTTAATTCTAAATTTAGGATATTAAAATTGAACCTGGTTGAATTCAAATTTGAATCTAATTGATTTCTAGTTTAAGTTTAGTTTCAATCTCCATTTTGATTTCAATTCTAATTTAGTTCTGAGTCTACTGTAAATGTCACTTTAATTCTCATTCAAGTCTGGTTCTAACTCATTTTTACAGCAATTGACTTCTAATCGAGCTGCAGGTTAAGCGATTCTATCTTATTTCTTTCCATTTCTATATGAAATAATGAAATGTTGATTCAACCTTAGTTTAATTACAATTCAAACTTAGTTTAAGTCTATTTTGTTTTGTGTTTTTTGAAAATATGTCTAATTATGTTTTTTGTTCAGTTTTGTTTATATTTCAATTTATTCGAATTGGAATTCAAAATAAGTTGGAAATCAACATGGAATAACAAAAATTGTAAAACAATTGAATTTGAAAACAAATAGATTGAACAATAAACAAAACTAAATCTGCATTAACGTAAAACTAAATTAGAACTAACTTCGGGATAAATTAAAGGCAGCCGTTTTTTTCAGAACGGGTGCTCCTGGGAGATGTTTTTCATGCAAACAATGATGCAAAAACACTGTGTTTTACAGTGATTTCTAGCAAAAACCTCTCAAAATTGAGGTTTTGAGCTATTTTTTGATCAATTTTGTGAGATCCAAGCCTATCCCAATTTAGAGGGAATACCAAAAAAAACAAAAAACAATAAACCAAAAAACACCAAAAAAACAATGTTTGACACAAAATGCAGCCAACATCCAAAAACCAATAGTGACCCCATTTTGTCTCAAACTTTGTTTGTTTTTGTTTTTTTGGTTTTTTGGTTTATTGTTTTTTTTGTTTTTTTTTGGTATTCCCTCTAAATTGGGATAGGCTTGGATCTCACAAAATTGAGCAAAAAATAGCTCAAAACCTCAATTTTGGAGAGGATTTTGCAAGAAATCACTGTAAAACACAGTGTTTTTGCTTCATTTAAGTTTAACGGTGGAATTTGATGTTAAATTGGATTTCAATTGATTTTGGTATTAGACTTCAATTAAAACGCTTTCAGAATTATTGGTGGAAGTTGATGTATCATTAGCTTTCTATTAACAATGTGTTTAAGATTAATTGTAGATTTTTTACAAACAAAGTTTCATTTGTACCATTGTCAAAATCATTGGGGAAATTGATGTTTATATTAGATTTCAATTAACATTTCTTCAAGATTAATTATAGAAAAATGAATGTGTAATTCAATTTCGATTAAATGCCTTTTCAAGATCATTGTGGCAATTGATTTTGACTTAGATTTCAATTAAAACCCTATTATATTTCATTGTAGAAATTAGGCATTACTTAAATGTCAATTAATGTCCTTTTCAAAATCATTGTGGAAATTGTTTGTTGTTTAGATTTAAATTATGTTCTTTTCAACATAATTTGATTGAATTGCTTGTGTATTGGATATCAATCAAGACCCTTTTAGAATTGATTGTGAAAATTAACTTTCAGTTAACAGTTAATGGTGGCAATCAATTCTTATAGTTAGATGTTAGTTAAAGTCCTTTTATTTGATGTAGCCTTGTAGTGGGGAGCAAACAGATACAAAATCAATTCAAGTTAAGCATCACAATTTCCACAATTGATCTTAAATCGACTTTAAACACAATCTGATACTAAATCAAAGCCACCACCAACTTTGAAAAGGACTTTGACTAAAATCTAATTGTAAGAACTAGTTTCCACAATGAGTTTTAAAGAGAACTTGGCAATGATTTTTATTGCAATCTAATATCTAATAAATAGCAAGTTCCACAATCAATGTTAAAAGGATCTTGATTGAAATCTTCTAATTTAAGTTTGCCTAATTCTATTTTAGTTCCAGTTTAGTTAGTTTAAGAACACACATGTTACAAAACCTATATTTTACAGTGTTTTTGCCCTAGGAGTGCCGGGAATAAGACACAAACTATGTTTTTGAGTAGATAGTATTTGTTTAAAGTAACCCCTTGGAATATTCATTGCTATATTAAAACTGCTTTATGTACAAACTTCTAATTCAAAAGGTTCCCTCTAGATCTGATCACTTCTGTGAAAAATATAAAGCTTTCATTTCAAAAGCTTTCCTCTGGATCTCTGGAAATAGTCATGGTATTTTAAAAAAGCTATAAGTATGTATGTAAGTGTTTCTTTCAAATGCTTTCCTTCAATGAAAATACACAAATCTAGGAAATCTACTTTCCCAGAGATCCAGAGGAAAGCTATTGAATCTAGATATGTATAGTATTATAACTTCATTCGCTCATGATGCTACATTCATTGTGGGCAGAGAGAGATTCACCTGATAATATTTATCATTGGTGTTGCACATTGATAGTGGGCAGACGAAGAGCTGTTATTTGTTGTCTTTGACATTGGACATGGAGACTGGGCACAGACAGATCAAAAAAATTGCGTTTCGCCTAGTTCTCAGAGCAGTTTTTGAAATTTTGCACGGTATTTACAGTGTTTTCTAAGGGTTTTGAGCTAGTGTGTGCTCTCCCAAGCACACCCACCCTCGTTTTTTTCGGGGGGGGGGCAAACATATACATATATAGTGAAGGAAGTGAGAATACAACGCTGTCCATGTACTGAAATTCAAGAAGCGACAAATTTAGCAAACTCATCCAGTTACCACCTTGAATATGTATGTCAATATATACATGTTTTTTTTATACACATTGATCCCTAATTCCTCATTGGCAAAGAAATAGATAAAGGCACATCCCTTGCCCGTGGCTGAGATCCTCTTCTACTCCACCATCGATGTGGAGGAACTGATCCGGTCCCTTGTGTGACGATCCTTTGAATTGTTCGAGTAAAAAGTCTGACGGTCTGTTTCTCGCAGAGAAGGCGAGCTTCCTTTCAGGGTGCACCAACTCCAGACTCCTGGAAACAGAATAAAGTAGGACCTCGAGGCTGTCGACATTTGCGAGCCCAAGGCTGATACTTATAGGGTACAGTCTGCCAGCAATCTGCGCAGTCAGTTTGACACCCAACATTTGTCATAGGTCAAACAGTCCAAGCACTCAAGCAATCTCAAGCACCTAAGTACATAGTTTTCTGAAAATTCTGGATGTCAAAGAATACAAACGGACCGCTGGCACCGCTGGTGCATGGACCTGCTCCTGCTAGATAGATTCCAGCAACAAAAATTAAATTTGTTGTCTGTAAAAGAAATAGATCGTAATTATAATCAATATTGACAAAAATCAGAACACATGCCTCCACTCAGACTTTTTACTTTGCATGGTCATCATATCACCATACGTCGTTTCAGGACCAACCCCCCATAACCTTCGTGGCAGGACGCGGTATACAACAAAGGTCGGCCAGTAGGTCGGCCCTGTTCGACTCGACTGCCGTGCAGTGTCGGGGCATCGTGGCAGGACACGTCGACCTCGGAGCCCGCCGACTTCA